AAAAGAGTATTTTAATGTTAAGTACAATCGCGCAGATTTGTCAACCTGCCCCATACCCAGAGTTAATTGTCACATGTCTTTTATACAGAGAAACAATAAGATAAAATTTCTGTTTTTTATTTTATTAAATTTATTGAGAGTACATAACATTATACATTAAGTATAAAGTATTTATACAATATTAATAATCATATACATATATATACATAAAACAACTTTAAATGATTTCACAATACTAAATCAGTTAAAAACTATAAAACATAATTAGTAATCTAATTTTTAATAAAGAAAAACAATGACAGGTACTGAAAAAGTTATAACAACGCATAACGATCACTGCGATTACTTCTTCGCGCATGCTCACCGTGTGACAACTTATCCCACAAACGTTCATTTTAAATAAAAAATATTATATTTATAAACTTCGCTGCGATGACGATTAAATAAATATAGGAAAACTTATTTAAAACTACCATATTTCCTATACATAAGATAAAATTGCAATTAGAAATTTTAAAACCAATGAAATTACTCAAGAATCGAGATCAGAAAAATATCCAATTTTACAAAAGTGCTCGTAAATATCATATATAATGTTTTTAAGAAAAGTTCTTTCGTACACGTTACTAACACAACTAGTAGCAACTTACAATAAAAAGAAGAATATTTTCCAAGATTTAGTAAGCAAGATAATAGCAGTTTGACAACTAACCCCGTGTCACAACTAGCCCCGGTCTCCCCTACAATTACGCAGCGGAATTAAAATTATTTTAAATAAATATTATAAGGAATATACAAGATGAGATGCATGTAAATGAACTGATGTAATGTCATAAAATATGGGAAAGCAAACCACGCATGCGACAAAACACACAATGCGATCAGGCATCTCCGCATTAAACCATGCCTCGAGGTAATTACTGCGCGCATTCGCGAGGTACACCTGCGGGAATAGACCGCACGTGTTTCACCCTCGTGTTTGATCCGCGTGTCATAAATGTAAGCATCGCGGTATAAAGAGAGGGAGAGAGAGAGAGCATAAGAGCGATCAGCCAGATATATGTATTCCTCGCAGAAATTCAGCCGCGGTGACTTCGCGAACGATATCAAGTTTTACCCTTCGCCGTCGTAGTCAAGGTATTGTCGGTGAAAATCCCATTCACCGCGGCACGGCAAGTGCAATTCCACCTTCGTACACACAAAAGCTACCGTAACCGCTCACCCCGCAAAATATGTGATTCGTGAAGCCCCCGGCTTAAGACCTCGGCGCGCCGTGACGTCGGAACCGTCGTGGTGTCGCGTAAACTTGCATTCTCACCATCCATCGCATTTCTCCAGCTGCCACTCTCCGGACGGATTTAATGCTACCTCTGTATTCCCATCCCCTCTCTTTCTTCTTTTCACTGCTATCCGATCTCGCGATTTAACTGTGAAAGCATTTACAGGCGCTTCCTCTAGATCAAACGCGTCTAAGAGAACGTTTGCGCGAGAACAACGTTGTATATGTTTGGCGGATGATATCCTGGAAGAGTGCCAATCAAAGAAGATTGCAATGATTTATTACAGATAATCGCCACGATATCCGTTGTAATACGTGTGGTAGTAAAACTGTCATATAAATATTAAAACAAAATACCAAACAAAAGAAACAGAACCAAGTTGCATATTGGAAAGTAATTATATATTTTTTATGACGAGATAAAAATTTAGCATCAGTCGTTTTATTAGACTTTTTATCCCCGTGTTAACGCTGATGTTTTGATATGGCTTGTTCGCTTACTACTTTTTTATCGTTCTTACACGATACACACTTCGAGTGTTCGAAAAACGTTTGTTTTAACACTTGTGCGTTTCATAATTTCTTGTGCAGAAATTCCGGGACCAACTTGGTTAGCTCTGTTTCGCGGCGTGACGCTCCTCTAACCACCCTGTTATTTATCGGCTTACGCTCGCCGCGTTCATCGCGGAACCTCTAACTGCGTTTGGTGTCGTTCGTTTCAGAAGAAGCGCGCGTTGTGTCGAGAGAAGAGAAGACGTGTTAAAGGTCGTTTTACATTGATCGTAAAGAGATGAATCGCCCGATCACATTGTCGCAAGAATCGTGCAATTTGAGCGTCTAAATTAGTCGTGAATCATAGCTAATCAGCAAAGAAATGCGAAGAAAATGTATTTTTTGACGTCCATGATAGTTCACGAGAGAATGTCGCCCTAAAAATGATGAGCTCACGTATTATCGCAAAATCGCAAACTTTGGATTTTGACAAATCTCGCGATTCTGGTTGTGACAATCTTACGACGGTCGCAGTATTGCTTGCGATCACGCGATCGGCCGCTTGCGCTTAATGTAGAACGACCTTAACACGGCGTTGCCGTGAACGAAGGGATCGAGAGAGAATAGCAAATTGAATCCCGCGGAAACATGTCCCGGCAAAGCCTGGGCTCTCTCTGTGGAAAACGACACCGTGTCTCTCTATTGCCCTCCCCTCTCTCTAGTTTTCCTTTTCTCAAGATCGATATAGGGAATCGAGTTATCGGCCTTAGTAGATCGAGCGTACCTGTGCCGCGTTAACCCACGAAACTTTATTGGCAATGCACCGCGCGAGCCCACGCGTGCTTGGACTTACAATCGCCGCGAATTCCGGAAAATCGACTCTCTTACTTTCTCTCTCTCTCTCTCTCTCCTCTCCTCTCCTTTCCTCAATTTCTTGGGTACAGGTATACTTGCAGGCTTAGTAAACCTGCTCTCTTCTCTTCCTCTTACCGGAATGAGAAACTTTTTCCTCATGCGGTCGCTTCCGGTGATCGAGAGACGATCAACGGAAGTAATCCTGCTGGCTTTTTCAGCTACAACGCGACCACCTGATTCATGAGCTTACCTGAGAACTCGATATTGCAATAGATACGAAAGACAAACTGCAAGAAATGGCATAATATACAATGTTGCTAATAAGACGGTAGAGTAAAAGGTCAAAATTTTGTCGCCTTTAAGGTTTTTGTTTCGGTATTCAAAGTGTAATGAATGCTCCGACTTGAAAAAACTCGTATACGCGTGGCTTAATCCCTCTAGTATAAATCCCACAATCGTTGTTCTTAAAAATTTTATATAAAAAGAGAAAAAAAAATATTCCTAATTTTGTGCTTTTTTGATTTATTTAGAAAAGAAGTTGAAACTGTCAGTGTGATCTTTTAAAATGTTTTTTTTAGAAGCGCTATTATCTATGATGAAAATATGATTTTACATGTAAAAAGTAAAATACGAGTAAAATACGCTGTAGTAGTTTGTAGTTTGTTTTTTCATTGTTATAATATTTATGTGTGACATTTCACTCGTTTTTATTGCATTTTATCCTCATAGATTTTTCTTACGCTATTTTTTTAATAAAGAAAATTTAACACATTCTCTTCCTCTCCTTTATCACTAGTCCGGTCTCTTCTATCTTTCTTCACTATTCCTCGAGCGGTAAT